GTGGTTTGCTGCACCTATCAACCCGTCGTCTACATTAGGTATTTGTCCTAATGCTATCCCTTCCCTAGCCCTCCACCTGCCAACAGGCCCCAGTGTGTGATGTTCTCCTCCCTGTGTCCATGTGTTCTCATTGTTCAACTCTCACTTATGAGTGAGAACATGTGGTGGTTTTCTGTCCCTGTGTTAGTTTGCTGAGAATGATGGTTCCCAGCTTCATCCATGTCCCTGCAAAGGACATGAACTCATCCTTTTTTATGGCTGCATAGTATTCCATGGTGTATATGTGCCACATTTTCTTTATCCAGTCTATCACTGATGGGCATTTGGGTTGGTTCCAAGTCTACTGCTATTGTGAACAGTGCCACAATAAACATATGTGTGCATGTGTCTTTATAGTAGAATGATTTATAATCCTTTGGGTATATACCCAATAATGGGATTACTGGGTCAAATGGTATTTCTGGTTCTAGATCCTTGAGGAATCGCCACACTGTCTTCCACAATGGTTGAACTAATTTACACTCCCACCAAGAGTGTAAAAGTGTTCCTGTTTCTCCACATCCTCTCCACCATCTGTAGTTTCCTGACTTTTTAATGATCGCCATTCTAACTGGTGTTGAGATGGTGTTTCATTGTGGTTTTGATTTGCATGTCTCTAATGACCAGTGATGACGAGGTTTTTTTCATGTTTGTTGGCTGGATAAATGTCTTCTTTTGAGAAGTGTCTGTTCATATCCTTTGCCCACTTTTTGATGGAGTTGTTTTTTTCTTGTAAATTTAAGTTCTTTGTAGATTCTGGATATTAGCCCTTTGTCAGATGGATAGATTGCAAAAATATTCTCCCATTCTGTAGGTTGCCTGTTCACTCTGATGATCGTTTCTTTTGTGGTGCAGAAGCTCTTTAGTTTGATTAGATCCCATTTGTCAATTTTGGCTTTTGTTGCCATTGCTTTTGGTATTTTAGACATGAAATCTTTGCCCATGCCTATACCTGAATGGTATTGCCTAGGTTTTCTTCTAGGGTTTTTATGGTTTTAGGTCTTACATTTAAGTCTGTAATCCATCCTAACTTAATTTTTGTATCAAGTGTAAGAAAGGGGTTTGTTTTCTGCATATGGCTAGCCAGTTTTCCCAACACTATTTATTAAATAAGGAATTCTTTCCACATTGCTTGCTTTTGTCAGGTTTGTTACATAGGTATACACATGCCATGGTGGTTTGCTGCACCTGTCAACCCATCGTCTACTTTAGGTATTTCTCCTAATGCTATCCTTCCCCTAGCCCTCCACCCCCCAACAGGCTCTGGTGTGTGATGTTTCCAGCATCTGTAGTTTCCTGACTTTTTAATGATCGTCATTCTAACTGGCGTGAGATGGTATCTCATTGTGGTTTTGATTTGCATTTCTGTAATGACCAGTGAGGATGAGCAGGAGGATTGCTTGAGCCAAGGAGTTTGAAACTACAGTGAGCTATGATTGTGGCATTGTACTCCAGCCTAGGTAACAGAGCAAGACCCTATCTCTAATGTATATATTCTTTTTTCTATTAAACACATTCAATTCTATAAACTTCCTTCAAAGCACCTCTTTTGCTGCATCCAACAGATTTGGTAAGGTTTATTTTCTATTTCATTTAGTGCAAAATATCTTTAATTTCTTTACATTTCATTACACATGTGTTATTTAGAGGAGTGTTGTTTAATCTACGAGTACTTTGGAATTTTCTAGCTATCTTTCTGTCATTGATTTCTAGTTTAATTCCATAACAGTCTGAGGGCATACTTTGTATGATTTTTATTCTTTCAAATCTGTTGAGGTGTGTTATGTGGTTGTCTGTCTTGATGAATGTTTTTGAACTTGAGAAGAATGCCTATTCTGTTGTTGTGGAGTATGCTTTAGATGTCAATTAGATACAGCTGATTGATGGTGCGCTTCAACTATGTCCTCAATGATTTTCTGCCTACTTGATTTGTCAATTGCTGATAAGAGGATTGATTAAGTCTCTTTAAGTCTATTCATATATTTCTCATATATTTGCATCTCTACCAGTTTTTGCTCATTTTGCTGCTTTGTTCAGTGTATATACATTAAGAATTTTGTCTTCTTGGAGAGAATGGGTCCCCTTTATCATTATGTAATGCCTCTCTTCTTCCATGATTTTCAGTGCTCTGAAGTCTGATTTGTCTGAGATTAATACAACTACTCAAACTTTCTTTTGATTAGTGTTAACATATGTACTTTTCTCCCTCTTTCTTCAGTTCTGTTCACTCTGTTGATGACCTCATCAAAGGCACTGTTCACTTGTTAGTTTTTTAATGCAAGAATTTCCTTTTAATTCTCCACTTCTTTGCTTTTATTGCCCATTTGTTCTTGCACGTTGTACACTTTTTCCATCAGAGCTCTTAGCATATTAATCATATTTTAAATTCCCAGTGTGATCATTGCAATGTCCCTGCCATGTCTGAATCTGATTCTGATGCTTGTTTTGTCTCTTCAAACTGTGCTTTTTATCGTTCATTTTTGTTGAATGTTGGACATGATATACTGGGTAAAACGAACTCGAGTGAATAGGCCTTCAGTGATGTGGTGGTAATATATGTGGTAGGGAGCATTCTGTAAGTCCTATGATTAGGCTTCTTAGTAAGCCTAGGTCCCCGGACTGAACATTCACAAGTGTTTTTCAGTCTCCTCACCCCCATTTAGGTAAAACAGGAAGGTTGGAGGAGGCTGGAGTGGTTATTTCCCTTACTCCAGTTGGCTAGGCACTGGTAAAACCCAATGCGATTAGGTTCTAGCAAGAGTTTACTTTGGGGCCAGGCTTACATTAAAGAAAACAGAATTCTCTGGGCATATTTCAGAATAGTTACTTTCACCTACACCTGCTAGGAGCACAAGGGGATTTTTCTCTGATATTCATTATGAAAATCAGGTGGGACTCTTACAGGTAAAACTCGCAAGTGTCTCTTCTCCAATCCACACAAGGCTTGGCCTCCTCTTAAAAGATTTTCTCTCAGTTAGTCCACGATCAGCCTCCAGGAAGTATTCAATTACCTTTAGGTATTCCTACCCAATGCTGGCTCCAGTGGCGGTTTCTGGGCAGGTGCTCCTCCAGGTAAACTATGATTTTCTGCACCTGCCTGTGTCTCCAGTTTTCAGGGTGGTGGTTTGTCCTGTGACTTCAACTCAAAGTAAGAGTTTAGTTGTTCAGCTTTTTTCTTTGCTATGATGGGAATTAAATTTTTCAAACTTTTTACATGTCAAACTGGAAACCAGAATTCCCTTATGCTTTTAAAGAAACTGCCAATTTTCTAGACGAGTTGTACCATATTACATGATACCACCAATGTATTAGAGATTTCATTTCTCCACATCCTTGCCAGCATTTCATACTGTCACTAATTTTTTTTTTAGGTATCTAATAGATGTTTAGTGATCTCAATGTAGTCTAAAACTGCATTTCCTTCATAGTGATGTCAAACATTCTTTTCAGAGCTAATTTGCCATCAGTGTATCCTCTGCAGTGAAATGTCTCTATGTTTTTTGCCCATTTTCCAATTGGATTTTTTTTAACTGAGTTTACAGAGTTATTTATTCTAGATATGAGTCTTTTGCCAGATATGTGGTTTACATGTATTTTCTCTCAGACTCTACATTTTTCATCCTTTTAACAGGGCCTTTGGCAAACAAAAGTTTGTAACATTGATGCGTCAATTTGTCAAGTTTTTCTTTTATGAATATTCTTTGGTAAGAGCTATTCAGTAAGTTGAAGCCTTTCTCCTGCGGTTTTTCCTAAAAGTTTTATACTTATTTTACGTTTAAATCAATGATCCTTTTTTGAGTGACTTGTTTAATGAGTGAATAATAAGCGGAGACTCTTTTTTTCTCCTATGAAATCCAATTGCTCCCCCAGATAACTATCTTATGAATCATGTCTATCACAAATTATTATCACTAGATAATCAACTTAATTTACTTTTTGTTAAAACCAACTTGCTGAAAAGAATACAAATTTTGACTAGGAGGAGAAAGGTAGAGTGGATTTATGATTTTATGGCAATTATAAGGGGAGTGTTTCAATGGAGACTTTAGGCAACTAGAACTCAGCATGAAACCAGAGGTAGAAGCTGATAAAGACAGGGGTAAAAAGGAGAAAATGAGTTCAAAACAACTAACTTTCAGCCAGGTGCGGTGTCTCATGCCTGTAATCCCAGCACTTTGGGAGGCCGAGGTGGGCGGATCACGAGGGCAAGAGATGGAGACCATCCTGGCTAACATGGTGAAACCCCATCTCTACTAAAAATACAAAAAATTAGCCGAATGTGATGGCATGTGCCTGTAGTCCCAGCTACTCGGGAGGGTGAGGCAGGAGAATGGCGTGAACCCGGGAGGCGGAGCTTGCAGTGAGCCGATATCGCGCTACTACATTCCAGCCTGGGCGAACAGAGTGAGACTCTCTGTCTCAAAAAACAAAACAAAACAAAACAAAACAATCCTCAATTCTGTCCTTTTGCCTAGGGATCAGATCATTGCAAATGCCAAATTAAAACACAAAACAACAATAGAGGGCAATTTTGCATGCAAATTATGCTAAGGTATAAAGCATATCTTAGTATTTCTCAAAATGTAGTCATCTGTGGATTTACTGAACAAATTTGTCATATCTGCTTATAATCATACACTACTTCATAATTTTTGACAACCATAAATAATATAATTTCTTTACATGTTATCATTGTAATTATCAGGTGATGCTTTGGAGGCTGATTATCATACTATGTGAGGTATTACAAAAAAAATCAAGACTCTTAGCAGACTGTGATCATTTTTCCTTCCCTAATAGATTTGACAGAAAATTACTGCTTGATTTTACTGTGAGAATTTGGATCCAGACCTACTGTCCTCATTAGGAATCAGAAATCACAATGAAATATCAAAATGATGCCCTAGTGGCTATTGCAAAAGGAATACATGGGTGGTTGGAGAGTGGAATACATGACTCTGTTTTGGAGCAGTATTTACATTTTTTATTTCAAGTTGTAAAATATACGTGGCCAACACTGTTACTTTCATCCACAGATGGAATATCTGGGAAGTATAAAAACCTGTACATGACCTTTTATCAAGATTATTTGTCATCAAATTACCCATATCCAAGTTTCCATGGGCCTGGAATTTCCTTTCCACTTGATAGGGGTATATATTAGGAAGTCCAGTTGATAACATTTTTATTTTTTAAAAAAAAAAGGAAAAAAGAATCAGCAGAGTCAAGTTGTCTTAGTCTTAAGGCTTTCTGGATTTCCTCCTTGGAGGACGTCAGGATCTTCCCAAGGCCTGGGTCCTCGAATATTCTTCCAGTCATCAAACTTGGAGTCTTTTATTTTCTATAGAGCCGCAGAAAATTAAAGTATAAATATTAGTGTAAGAGCCCTGTGGCTTTGATTAGGACACAACTCAATGAATAAATGAGTAGAAAGTATCCGATAGGTCCTCAATTACAATTGTAACAAATAAATCAACTACAATCATAATCATTCATGAAATGTCATTTTAAGATTTAGAACTTTTCTTGTTTGTTATTGATGTTAATGCCTATCTTACTCCACCTTAACCATAAACCTATTAAAATAAAGAGTCTACATGCCTTATTTTTGAGAGGACAAGGAAAAGGCCGAAGCTGGGAAAACAAAAGTACAAATCTGAAGGTTGATCCAGCACGATAATGACTGAAAGGGTTATCGGGGATGATGGTAGAAAATAAGAAGAAAAGAACAAAGATGGAGACCCTAAAGTCTTCTATAAAAAAGAAAAGAGACCAAGATAATTTGTCTTTTGTCTGGTCTTAGGAATGAAAAGACTTTTCCTACAGCTACCATAAGCAAAACACTTTTGGGCAACTGAAACTAGTTGTAACTACATTATGGATCATCCTACCTTCATTTAGTCTGAAGTACCTCTCAAGCACAAAAATAAAGGTGGAATAAAAGGGGGAAAATAAATGTTTCTTCACCTTTCTCTTACTGACCACCACTCTGACATTAACTTTTACATATCTGCTGTTTTGGTTGTTCTGGAATAATTGAGTAAGACAGGAAAAAAAAAAAAAAGACTGAGAAAACAAAGGATAGCTTATATCCAGAGACAGGGAAAATGATATAAATTTACCTTGACACTTGGATACTAAGCATTACTCTCTTACTAACTAGCTATATAATCTTTGGAAAGTGATTTAAGCCACCTGGGCATTAATTCTCTGATAAGTAACAATGAAAAAGTTGGACCAAATAGTCTACATGGTTTCTTCAGCTCTCAGATTCTACAGGTCCTAGAAGAACTAGAAGGAAAATCTACTCCCAGACAAACTCTCCATAGCATCACTACTGGTATAGCACTTGTAAAACTACAAGTTAGCAAGTTACAGGATTTTTTTTTTAATCAATGGGAAAGTAGTAAATGAAAATACTGTTCACTTATAGTTTTACCAGGAGTCTGTATTACATATATACACAAAGGAACAAAATTCAACTAATTTAGCATATGAGAAGAATTTAAAGTATTTTCAAGTATAGTTATGAAATGATCTAAAGTTATTAAAAGATTTTAATAAAGAATAAATGGCCATTATCCAGGTAACATAAGATATATATGCTTAACAGAATTGAAGAAAATTGTTAAATAACAAGTTCATGTAAAAGTGGTCTAGTCTTTAGAGATCTTTGGTGAAGGAGATTCCTTGTAGAATTCTACAAAACATGCACAGTGGCTGAAGAATGGGCTGTGTAAATGTGCTGAGAAAAACCACCCAAGACATAACACTTCACAGCCAACTGGCATAGGCTTGAGTGTGGAACAGCATGAAGAAATGCTGAGAAAAAACAGTGTCAAGAATATGGAGTTTTCAGGCCTGCCACAGTGGAGAACTTTCTTTTAACATTTTGTTGCTACGCTGACATCCACCTAAGACACCAAAAGGGCTGTTCTTCAGGAGTAAAAATTATGCCTGAGAATAAGATTTTATTGAGATTCACCCCAACAAAGCTTCAAGCCAAGCCTTGACAAGACTCTCTGGGGAGACAGTTTGGAGATTAAGTCCCAACAAGAGAGAAGGGTCAAGGAAAGATAGTAGCCCTTCAACAGATACTTCCCTACAAAGCACAAAATGAAGTTCAAGGTGATTAGCCAACAATTAAATTGTCTGCTAAAACAAAAATGAACACTCTTCAGAATTTTCTTCAGTGTAGTATTCACAATGACTACCTTTCGATACAAAATGACCAAACATACAAAGAAACAGGAAAATATAATCCAGTCAAAAAAATTACAAACTCTAAGACATGAAGAACATCCCACCTCACCACATCCCATAATATAGTGTGCTATTAAACTCCTTGATTTTTGCTAATTAGATGGGTGAAAAGTGATACCTCATTACACTCTGATATTCCTATTATGATAAATTGAGCATCTCTTCATATGTTTAAGAATGATACTTATTTCCTTTTGTCCAAAAGTTTTACATGCTATGCTTTCCCATGTTCTTACTGAACAAATGAATTGTTGAACTTTTCACACTGATTTGGAGATGGTCTTCATATTTAAGTAAATGAATGTGCCATGATAAGATTAAACTATATTTGTAGGATTTCTCATATAACTTGTGACTTCATATACATTTTTTTAGTCTGAACTTTTGAATTTGTATGTATGAACCCATTAATCTTTACTTTTAGAGCTTCTGGGTTTTATATCACATTTAAATAGGCTTTTTTGACTCAAGACAACAAACAAAATTCCCCATTTATATTCTCCTAGTACTTTTAGCATTTTGCTTTTTACTTTTAAATTCTTGATCCATCTGGAATTTATTTATTTGTAGTATATTAAGTATGGATCCATCTATATTTTCTTTTCAAATGACTATATAGTTTATCAAATACTATATATTCAAGATAATTTTTTTCTGTACTATTAATACTTTTAAGGCAGATAAAACCAGTAACTGATTGTTATAAGACAGAGACTACATTAACATACTGTACCTCATATTCCGACTCTAAAGATATTTTATTCTCTTTCAGTTTTTTTTCAAGCTCAGGATCCATCTGTAGAAAAGGAAAAAAGGTAGTAAGTTATCTAAGTCTGTTAGACTCAGTTTTCAATTTTAAGTTATAGAGGAGATGGCTGAAATAGTATGGCCAAATACAAACACATGGCAAAATCTCCACCATCTACTCTGATCACATAATGATAACTAATGTACTACTGCCACCATTATTCAACTAACAAGAGTTAATATCTACTGATTACTTGTTATGTGACAGGCATTTTGACATATACTGTCTTGTTTCATCCTCACAAAATCCATGAGATACATATTATCTTTATCTGTATTATCATATGTAAGGAATATGGGACACGGGGGGGGGGGGGTTTGAATAACATGTCAAAGAGGCAGAGCTTGGCTTTGAGTAATGGTTCTCTGCCTCCAGAGTTCACACTATTAACCACCAACCTAAATTATATTATGGAGAAATAACATAAAAATACTAATATAATGCTGCACTTGAAAACAAAAAGGAATACCTTCCATGAGCCAGAAGTAGGTATCTACAAAAAAAAAAAAAATCCATAGAGGTAAAAAGGAGCTAATGCTATATTACCTGTATAAAAAGTCTTCTGAGGCCGGGCGCGGTAGCTCAAGCCTGTAATCCCAGCACTTTGGAAGGCCGAGACGGGCGGATCACGAGGTCAGGAGATCGAGACCATCCTGGCTAACACGGTGAAACCCCGTCTCTACTAAAAAATACAAAAAACTAGCCGGGCGACGTGGCGGGCGCCTGTAGTCCCAGCTACTCGGGAGGCTGAGGAGAATGGCGTGAACCCGGGAGGCGGAGCTTGCAGTGAGCTGAGATCCGGCCACTGCACTCCAGCCTGGGCGGCAGAGCGAGACTCCGTCTCAAAAAAAAAAAAAAAAAAAAAAAGTCTTCTGTATGTGGCAAAGCCTTCAGGAAAGAAGAGTATGATGGCTGAAATTAATAAACAACAACTACAAAAAAGCAAAGATCAAGTAAGTAAAATAGAAGCATAACCAGAGGATTTCACTGGAATAATGGATGAAGAGATAAAGACGAGATGAATGAAAAAAAGTATTTTACAAAAGCGAGACCTAAAAGTTCTAACACATAGCTAATAGGAGTTCCAGAATTAGAAAATAAAGAAAAGGGAGGGAGAGCAATAATTAAATAAAAATAGCAAAGAATTCCCCACTACATAGCAGTGAGTCCTCAGACTGAAAGAGTACAGTAAGAAATAAGCACAACAAAACAAAAACATTTTTCATCAAAGTGAAATTGATTAAGAAAAAAAGAAATCACAAAGAGTATTTAGATGAAAAGGTCAACAGCACAAATTCTATAGGCAATAAAGAGATAGTATAATAATATACTAATTTTATGCCATTAATTTGAAAACTTAGATAAAATGGACAGATTAATAGAAAAATACAACTTTCCAAAACTGACAAAGGAAGAATAGACAACTTGAATAGTTTTACAATCTACAAAGAATTAAATCTATAATAACCTCACACAAAGAAAACTCCTGGGTCAGATGGCTGTGCCAGTGAATTATCCCAAGGAAGAAATAATGCCAATGTAACAAATATTCTGTATGAGTTATGTGGTAAGCATAACCCTGGTATCAAATTTCACAAGAAAATTAAAATAACAGGCCAGTTTCATATATGAACACAAATGCAGAATTCTTAAATAAAATAGTGTAAAAAGAATTCAGCAACATACCAAAAAGATAGCATACCACAATGAAGTTGAATTTATTCCAGAAAGGCAGAGTTAATTTGAAAATCACAATGTAATTTGCAAATAAACTAATGTGACAGAACAGAGAATCCTGAAGCAGACTTAAAAACTTACATGAACAGCTGATTTATGACAAATTAGGCACAGAAGAGCAGTCAGGAAACAATGCTATTGTCAGTATATGATGACTGCACAATGTTTTATCTATTAATATCAGAGAATATATTCCTCACATCACATACAAAAAAAGAAAAAAATCAATTCCAAATAGAATGTAGACCCAAATACAAAAGGCAAAATTCAAAACTCTTAGTAATTCACATAGAAAAATATTTATACTTTGGAGTAAGGAAAATGTTTCTTAAAAGAAAAAAAAAATCATAAAGTAAAAGAGGAATAAAATATAGTGTATTAAACTTTTTTTTTTTGACATGGGAATCTCACTTTGTCACCAGGCTGGAGTGCAGTGGCACGATCTTGGCTCACTGCAACCTCTGCCCCCTGGGTTCAAGCAATTCCTCTGCTTCAGCCTCCTGAGTAGTTAGGACTACAGGCACGTGCAACTACGCCCCGCTAATTTTTTGTGTTTTAGTAGAGACAGGGTTTCACCATGTTGGCTAGGATGGTCTTGATCTCTTGACCTCATGATCCACCCACCTCGGCCTCCCAAAGTGCTGGGATTACAGGTGTGAGCCACCATGCCCAGCCAACTGTATTAAACTTAAGAAAATTTGTTCATCAAAAGATACCATTAAGAAAGTGAAGACTAAAAGTTTTATAATCTGGCATGCATAAAAAAACTCCTAAAAAATAGTAGGAAAAACCCCAATAATCCAGTAGAAACAAATGAGGAAGAGGCCTCAATAGACATATTACAAAAATGAATATACAAAATAGAATATAAAAATGGCCAACAGACATATAAAAAGTGATTAACTTCATCAGTCACCATGGAAAATTTAAATTCACCTCATAATTAGATAGCAATTCATAACACACTCACCAGAATTATTTTTAAAAACAGAACAAAATTAAACTGACAATACAAAGTATTTGCAGCCTTAACGATAAATTGCTGGTAACAGTATGGACGGATGGTCATTCTGAAAAACAGTTTGGAACTATCAAATAAAATTGAAGTATGATACAACACCCTATAATCTAGCAATTCCTTTTTGTACATGTACAAGAGAAAAGCATACAAGAATGGAATGTTCAGGATGTCACCAAGATGGCAGAATAGAAGGTAACCTGCTCATATCCCCCCATAGCAACAAGAATCCTGCACCTATCCACAGTAAAAAGTCTCTCTGCAGGAGCCTCAGAATTCAGGTAGGAGGCTGTCAAACCCTGATGGAGCCAAAGACCTAGGAAGGTTGTTTTGAATGCATTCACACCTAGGTGGGTGATTCACTGAGCTTGCTTCTAAGTTCAAGCCTGGAAAACAGCCCAGTCCTTCAAGGGGCTTAGCTAACAGCCCCATTTGGCCTTCAGTCTACAACCAAAACCAGCCGCCAAGAGGTCCAGAAGGAATCACACATGCTAGTGACTTAGCAGAAAGGCTTGTCTGCCTGCTGATATTGGTCTTGACAGTAAGCCTGAAAGTGGACCTGTGGCTCTGCTCCAACATTCAGCTGGAGGTCCCAGCTCAGACCTGTTTACACAAGGACCCAAAGGGAGACTCAACCATATCTGGCAGCCCAGGAATATAGGCCTCCCCAATGGGCTTGCCAACCTCCTATCACAGCAGATCCTGAGGGGGCCCAGCCTCAGCTGCAGCCCCTCTTGCTGTAGTTGAGAAACAATCCTGTCTGTGCAGGATCCTCCAGGGAGACAAGCGCCCCACTTGAGCCAACAAGATCCAGCTCTTTAGCCTCCAGGCCACAGCAGATCCCAGGGGGGCCCAGTCTCAGCTCCAGCCTCTCCGGGCACAGTTGGGGAACTATCCTGTCTAGGGACCTGCTGGGAAATGCACACCCACCTGAGCCAATGTGACAGGCATGCCATCCTCTCTTCTACAGTAGATCCCAAGGCAGCTCAGTCTCAGCTTCAGCCCCTCCTGTGGAAGGTGAGGAACTACCCTACTGATGCAGTGATCTGCCAAATGACACATGCTCATCTGTGGCAATGAGAGGGGGTCATCAGCCTCCCCACAGCAGATCCAAAAGGGGTCCAGTCTCAACTCCAGTTCCTTTTGCTACAGTCAAGAACCCATCCTGCCTATGCAGAGAGCTGTTGGGAGGCATGCTTGTCTGGGGCACTGAGACAGTCTTCTGGACTCAAGTACCTGGTCAGCATTCCCACACAGCCCCAGTACCTACCTTGGATCTTCCACAGATCCATTTGGGCCAGGAAGCCATGCCAACCTTGGAGCCCTCATGAGACTCATGGCAAGCCTGGGCTTTGAGCACTCTCTAGTGCTGAGGCAGCTCAAGTTGTCACAGGCTCAGAGAAGACAACAGTCAGTGTGCTTAGAATCCCTTGAAAACCTTCTGAAGAAGGACAGGCACAGACAAAACCAGACTGCACAGACTAAGATAAATACAGAGGCTCTCAATGCACACAAATTGTCACATTTCTTCGAGTATCAGAAACCTTTAGGAAAATATGACTTCATCAAATGGACAACATAAGGCACTGGAGACCAACCCTAAAATGATGGAGATGTGTAATCTTTCAGACAAAGAACTGAAAATGGCTGTTTCAAGGAAGTTAAATAAACTTCAATAAAAGACAGAGAACCATTTAGAAATTTATCAAGAAATTGAACAGAGAAGTTGAAACAATTTCTAAAAAATCAAACAGAAATCGTAGAGCTGAAAAATACAATGAATGAAACAAAAAATGCACTACAAAGCATCAACAGAAGAATTCAGCAAACAGATGAAAGATCAATGAGCTCAAAGAGAAACTATTTGAAAATACAGAGTAAGAAGAGAAAAAAGGAAAAAGAATGAAAGTAATAAACAGCTTACAGGATCTATGGAACAACTTAAAAACAGCAAGTATTCAGGTTATTGGAGTTAAAGTGGGAACTAAGAAAGATGAAGGAGCAGAAAGCTTCCTCAAAGAAATAATAACAGAAAACTTTCTAAACCTGGAGAAATATATAAATATCTGGGTAAAGCAAGGTAAAATGTCACCAATAAGATTCAGCCCAAATAATACCCCAAGACATATTATAATCAAACTCTCAAACACCAAAGTCAAAGATAAGATGCTAAAAGTAGCAAGAGAAGTGAAGCAAACGATATGAGTGACATCCATATTCCTGGCAGCAGACT